GGCGTCTGAAAAAGCAAATTATCACCGGATAATGTTATTAGTACAAGATTAGCGCTAGGAGTAAGGTTACAATTATCACCAGATCCACCTGGAAAAAGAACAGACAAAGGCCTCTAAGGTGGGCGGATGGAGTCATTAGGTAAAGTAAGATGCCAAAACACATGACTTTGACATGTCTTTAATTATTAAGTTGTTCGTCTTTAACGATCATTTGGCTCTATCCTGAATGACGTCCATCCCCATCTCGGTCGGATCCGTTGCCTGAACTTCATAGTGGATCCCATCCAGCACTCTCCTCAGTCCATCTTTTGAAGTTGCGTACAGCATTTTTGCTCTAATTCTTGATTCCTCCGGAGACCTGATCGAGGAGATCATCAACGTACTTGCAACACATCAACTCAATTTAACAGAGACAATAATGATCTGTCTAATTAATTAGCAATAAACACAAAAGATTACTTCTGCATAGTTGGCCCATAAATTTGTTGAATTCTTGGAGGTAGCTCTAGTCTCTAGCAATATTGACAAAAGGGGAATAAATGTATGCTTAAAGATTGGTATCATATCAGGGGGAACCACCGATCAAAGATAAAAGAAGCAGAAGAAAATCAGTTACTAGAATGATAAGCAGGTGGGAGTAGTGGCGGACCATGCGATGAAGAAAATCTTGCTCTTCCGGCAATTGTCGACGGTGACAAAGTCGAAATCAAAGACTGCATAACGGCAGTCGTCTTTGGGCAGGGAGGCAGCAAGTTGTTCGTAGCCTTCACCAGGTCCACCCACCTTGTCCACCGTCACCAACCTAGAACCTTCATCGATCTTGAACACTATGAATCTGTGCACCTTCTTCCACTTCATCTCCATGAACGAATTCTTGCATTCCTCCGTTACCCACATCCCTGTTGTAGCCTATCATGCACGCATATAATATGTTCAACAAAACAAACACGATGTTGCACACTAATAAATAATTGGGCCTGTGTCTCCTATACATATTGGCTTGATCTGCAGCTTCAATATATGTGCATATGTGTACATGTAAGCTCGGCCAAATTAAGACACAAATTACTAAAGAAGATGAATTATGCAAAGAAAACGATGATCAGTGTGCAAGAATTGAAAGAACGGTAATTTGAGGGTGCACCATTTTGAAAGCCATCGCCATCTTGTTTGTGGTTGCAAAGTTGAGAGAAGCTGCAGGCGGTCAATTTGTCAGCTAAGCAGGCGAATTGATTTAACATCCAAGTGTGGATCGAATAAATGGACTATAGGGGTTTATATACAAACTTTACTACCTAAAAAGCCATTCAGATTTATGGTATATTACAAAGGTGTCCTCATGAGATGAGGTCTATTTCTTGGCTTCTGTACACTGCCTGTAGTCCTTGGGGGTGGATCTGAATGACGGAAATGACCCTCCAAGGGAGCTCTGGTTGCCTTGGAAAATGTTGCCTGGTTGGCCAAATGGAGGAGTTGAACTTTTGATGTTTTCTAGGCTATCGGCCTCAAAGAATGTTTTTTCACACGGGGGCGGGGGTCTTTGTGAATTAAGCATAGTTAAATACTAGTACTACTAAGTACTAAGTAAATGGATCAAGGTTATATAATTCTGCATTGCCCTTGGTTTATTATATATTTGCCAATGTTTGATCTTCTTAGCTACATAAAGTCATTGATGTATTTCCTGTAAAAAAACCCTCTGCTTTCTGCGCATCCATCCTTGAACTCATCCATTCGATCCCATCTTCTTTCCAGTTCCACTGGACCACGCCATGGCCATTAACATTATTGCTAAAGTTGATGGCTTTTTTGCTAGTTGTCAGCGACTCACCAACTTGGGTATAGTTTAGGTGTTTGATATCTGCTGCTCCTGTGTTTGTGTATTGAAAATCTTCACCTGTTCATCAGATTACCCAATATGTATTTTCATATAAAAATTTCCGGTCATCTCCATCGACAACCAAATTGTAACAGTAATTTCTGACTGGAAATCAAATGGTACATATGCGAAACGGTACATATCCATTCTCATGCTTGAACCTAAAAAATCTTGCTCATGAGTCAGAATTTTATTATACAAAAATACGTTATAGACCTCGCTCAATCAATCAGAGAGAATACAGTGCAAACATGTGGTCTCTAGGAAGCGGGCCTCATCACCGACGGTACACCTACATGCCCCGCATTTCCCTCTCTTTGAGTTCCTCAACTCGAAAAGAACCTTGGCGTGGAAGCAAAGGTGAAGAGTCCATTCGTCCCCCATCGACATCGATTGGTAATAACAACTACTGTAGCGATAACATGTGGTACGTATACAAATTGTGTGGAAAGCGGAGCGGTGAAATTTCTTGGTTTAAAGTAATTAAATCAATGTCTCTTCGATAGACCTTGAGCTTCCTTTGCCAGCTTTCTTATCTTTCTTTTGGGCATTTTTATGATTGAGATCTACGATCTATCTATCACTTTGGTCCCTAATTTTTTCTAAACTAACTAATCCCTGAGCACCTTTAGGCATCCCATAAAAAGTTTCTAGGAATTTGGCAGATAAGAAGAGCGCAGCATTATCCTGATCGTGTTCACATCGAAATAGCAGTATAGCAAATGCATATGTAAGCGGGATATGATTGCAAGAGACATTCCACGAGCACCACAGAAACAGAGAGAATGGAGAAAAACAACACAGAGCTTACAAACACTAACGTCTAACAATGTCTATCAGAGCAAGTGAACAGACAGATGATGGAGTTGGACATGGGAACGTGTCTCTTTCCTGCGGCTGGCCCCTATTCATTCCATCAAAAGAAACATAATAATAATATAACATCTCCAAACTTAACTGGATTTGCAGTCCAACGATTTCATTGTGAGCTGATTTGATAGATGAGGCAACTTGTATGAATATGATTTTTTTTTTTCAAAGAATAGGAAAACAGTACAAAAATAAGATGAAAGAGGAAGGAAGTTAAATGAAGGGAAAATTGATCAAAACGTCCCTCACATTTTGCAAAATAACTTTTTTTGTCCCTCACTTTTAAAAATATAATTTTACGTCCCTTACAAATTCATATTGGTCAAATTTGGTCCCTACATAGGTTTCCGACTAGTTTTTTTATCGGAATTCACCACGTGCCTTGCATGTGATCATATTTTAACGGCAAATTTGTCAAATCAAATTTTATATAATTTGATTCATAATCCCTCACATTTCATAAAATAAATTTTTTCGTCCTTCACATTTTTCAAAATGAATTTTTTCATCTTTTATTGATCATGTGTGTGAATAATTTTTTTTAAATCCATGTATATATTTATTTGATTTCACCTGAACAGTACGAATAGCATGTCAAATCAAATAGAGATATATTACACATTATTCGTATTGCTCAAGTGAAATCAAATAGATATATACATAGGTTTAAAAAAATTGTTAGTTTTTCACTTATATTCATTTTCTTTTACTCGAAATTTGAAAATAAAGAAGACATTTAATTCTAAATATTATCGAGTGTTTATATCGAATTAAATTTGGATAGCAAAAGTAAACAAAAGAAAAGTATGACAAAAAGAAATAAGTGATTGGCACTTTCAAATTTTAACACAATTATAAGGCAAGTAATTCAACTGTTGGCCTTAAAAGTGTCGAGTAGAAATTTCAGATTTAAACTGAAATTTTTTAGCACAATTATAGAATTCGAGTTAGGACCCATTAATTAGATGACCTTATTATACAACTCAATAAATAAATTATTACCAAAAGAGAAATGTCAATAATATTGAAGAGGTTCAAATGGTGAAATCATATAAATATATACATGAGTTTCAAACAAAATTATTAGTTTAAAACCCCTATATATATCTATTGAATAGCATGTGTATAACTACAATTAGCATGTTTAGATGAAATCCAATAGAGATAAATTACATGTTATTCATACTGTTCAGGTAAAATTAAATAGACATATACGTGGGTTTATAGAAAAAAAGCTATTCGTATACATGATCAATGAGGGATGAAAAAATTCATTTTAAAAAATATGAGAGATGGAAAAATTCATTTTTTGAAATGTGAGAAACGAAGCAACTCATTTTGTAAAATGTTAGGGACAAAAAAATTCATTTTGTGAAATGTGAGGGACTATGAATCAGATTATGTAAAAATTCATAACAATTTTACCCTTAAAAAATGATCACTTGCAAGTCACGTGGTGGATTTCTACAAAAATTAGGCGGAAACCTAGTTGGGGACCAAATTTGATCAATGTGAATTTGTAAGGGACGTAAAATTACATTTTTAAATGCGATGGACGAAAAAAGTTATTTTGCAAAATGTGAGGGACGTTTTAAACGATTTTCCCTTAAATGAATTACGAGGTAATTGATCTTTGACACCAATGGTTAAAAGCGACTTCCTTGCACCTTAAATGATCATTATGAGTCAAAATGTTCAGTAATTTGTGAAATCACAAATTCGATGGTTCCGGGATACCTGAATAAAAATAAAATAAAATCCCACCTTCTCGTGGCCAAAGATAGGGAAGCTGGATATAGTTGATTTATTTTCTTGCCTGCTTCGTCCCAAATATGTCATGAATCTTGTGTCGATTCCAAATTGGATGGTTCTCTAACTCAGGTGGATGTGCTACAGCACGTGTTGGGAATTGATTTCTGCTCAAAATTCTCCTCGCTTGATTTTCCAACATTTCCGACATATGTTACTAAATTTGTGATTTTGCATGTTGGGATGTCAATAAAGTTTCCAATTTCGTCGCCTTTTGCCATGATGATCCCCAAGGCCTAGCAGAAGCTAATGAAGGGCTCGGCAGAAATACGATAGTCTGACAAGTATGAAGCTAGCTAACATCAGTAATTAATTCCGTGGCCTAAAATGAATCAAACCACCATGCAATGTTGAACACCGAGTTTGCACTTTGGCAAGTTTGCTTTCAAGAGGTGCAATGCCGCCGCTGACACCTCAGAGATACAGAACAAGACCCAGATAACTTCTTCAAGAAAGCCTTGTTTTCTTATTGAATCTACCTCTGTTGAAAGGAGTCAAATGAACTAACAAACACATATGCACAATCTTTCCGCCACGCAGTTAAACATCCAAGTACAAAATTAATACAGACACAAGAAAACGTAAACTCTATACAACCATTGGTGTTCTAGCACTAAACGCTGATCTCTGGCTCCTACTTATTGGGAGGTGAACATAAACTTCATGAACCTCTTGTTTACAAACATCACCCTTGTCCCTATCAATGGCATAGCACACATATACGGTGTCAATCACATTATCCAGCACATGCACAAAGAAGCCCAACACCACCAAGAGCAGTAGCCATGCCATAGCAGCAACGAAGTACGCCTCCACACCAAGATGCCCAACAGCTCTTACTATAAGACAGACCTGCATGAGGAAGACAGGAGTACAGCGTGAGAGAATAAACAGAAACACATTTACTCTATAATACATATTTTAATATGTAGAGCAAATATAACATCCTGCAGAATTGATCCTCCACTAAGCTAATCTTGAATGCCCACAGTTAAATAAGCTTGAATGCCAATACCAACATGTCAAAGCATAATGTGAATAAAAGAAAAAGCAAAACGTCTCTCCCTCTCTCTCTCTCTCTCTCTCTCTCTCTCTCTCCCCCTCTCCCTCTCCCAACACACACACACACACACACATGCAAGCGCAAATACACATGCAGAGACACATTTTGGTGCAGGTTTTGCAACGGGAAAGGTCCAGAGAGGATGCTTCAGCAAAGTTCTACCCGCAATTTAACCAAAAACTTCATTTATCCCATCTCTTGTGATAAACAACTTCATCTGGTTGTTTTCAAACTTAATATTTGATGTAGCCTGACTCAATAATGAGCAAAATCTCACGAGTTTCAATTTTAGCTTGCAGCCAAAATAGGACAAAGTCTTCCTGGAAGCAATATCTAGCCATGGATGGTAAATTGATTAGGCACGTGTCACAGGCAAATAAGTCATATGATACTCATTATGTTTATCTTTATAAAACTAATCTTTTAAGATTCGGTGGTTCAGCAATCCAACAACTAAGTTTAGATTATCTCACCAACATGCAGTTTGCACAAATAATTACTTGTTATGCCTGGTTCAGTCAGAAAAAATTCAAGCGTATATTTTCTTCAAATGGAAAATTGACAAGTGACAAATAGTGAACTCACCACTATAGCATATAGTACTGAAAGAACAAAAATTATTCCTGCCAGAACACGAGTGGAGACAGTCTCCACAAAAGCGGCTGAGAGAAGATTGCGCTTCAACAGTTCATAGGTCATCCTTGCAGAGGTGCAGTAAGCTTCACCAGTTATAGCTGCAAAGTTTATAGTGAACTTATTAAGAAAGTCAAATGCTGCCATTAGGGCATTCACACAGCACCGTAGGATTAGGTTCACAATTCCAGAAGCATCTTCATTCCTTGCATTGTCAACCATTGCTCGCACAAAGCGAACAACACCGACAAGCAATCCAGATAAACATACCGTGCCCGAGGAGGGTCCAAATGCATTTCTGCACGTTTTCCAAAGAAAAATGAGACATTGAACAAATCAAATGGAGAAGATTGCATAAAATAAACGCATCTAAACAGTTTTACATGCAATTTGCCTGACAGTCCATATGTTAAATTAAATTTCTAAGCCATTAGCACAATAAAGCATTAAAACACCAAAGATGTACATCATTTCAGCCCTCCATAAGTTCAAAAATAATTATCCTTCCTCTTCTCCCTTCAGGTGTTCTGCTTTTACAAGAAAATAATGGCAGTGCAACTCCATTGCTAACAAAAGGTTTGTTCATATATTTTAACAACAATAGACGAATTATCTTCAGTAGTAATACACTTACTACTAGTGCACTTTTTCAAGTTGTTTTATCAGTATGATATCCCTTCAAAAGTAAAAACATGTATTTGAGTTCTGACAACTAAATTTTGGATAAACTGTTGTGTAATAAGACAAAAGGATCAAAAGTCATTTTGGAAGAAAAATTACTCGTGTGACAAAAGGAAACATTAAATTGTAATATATTGAATCAGGTCATATCGCCAAGATTTTGAAAACTTGTAAATTACGATACCTGAATCTTGCTAAGCAATCATTGGCCAAGAAATTTTGAAGCTTTTCAAGAAAGTGTTAATTTTGTTTGCAACAGCTGAGCAGAAAATACATGCAACTACTTACATTTGGAGTAGTAGTACCACAAGAAGTCATTTCATCCTACAAAAGTTAGAGCATCTTCTCAATTACATTCTTCAAACTGCTTTTGGAGTTCCTAAACCCTTCCACCACCACCCCCCCCCCCCAAAAAAAAAGGAAAAACAAAAAGGTGATTGGAGTTCCAAGACCAGTGCCTACAAATGCTAAGGAAGATTTGGAGATCCTTCTAGTCTTTCATTGAAGAATCCTGGAATTGCGTATAAACTATGCTGACTTCTTCGAGGATTACTATCAAAACAAAGTACACTAATAAGGATGTAATCACCATATATAGCCATTTTGACAGATATTGGAAGTACTAAACAGCAAGTAAAATTCATCTAAGTGCAACTAATTTAAGATACAGCTGTTTTTATGATTTCAAACCAAAATGCTAAATGAGTGCACAAGCACAAGCAGTAAAAAATGAATGTATTTAAAAAACAAGACATGAAAAGATACTTAAGTCCCCTCTCTGTTGCAAGATCATCTTTAAGCTATATACCTGATTGAGTAGAAACACAATTGTCTTACTAAATTGTCATCCAGCATAACTTAAATAGGATTTTTCTATTGTGTGCCGTACGGGCATGGCATAAAATGTAGGCCAACTATTTTTTGTCTGAAAAAAGTTCCTAAGCAAATGTATACGCAACTTAATTCTAAAGAGGTATTCAAATATTTCCTTTATCCTGCGATTTGTATAAAAATTCAAACTTTGGGTTCTACTAATCCAAGGCAGTAACAACGACTCACCTTCAAACCATAGAATCATGACAGTGCAAATAATCAAAAGATTACCAAAATGACTAACAAGAATCCAAACATTTTACCAAGTTTTCTCAACCAACTCAAAATTCCTTCAGAACTTGAATTCTTAGGGGTGGTTAAAAGAGAGAGAGAGAGAGAGAGAATATAAAAGAGCAGGCCCAGAAAGTAACCTCAAGGCGCTTCTTAAACTTTTCTTGGGCCTATCATAATCCTTGGAGAAGTACCATTGAGCTATAGTCCCACTAATGACATAAACTTGAGCTTCAATCATTGCTGTAGCAGACCAAAGCATTGTCAAAATGGCCAAGGCATAATAAGCGGGTACCCAACCGTCCTGTTTCCAAACACAATAGTATTCACCATTCTTTTCCTTGGGCACAATCTTCCCATTGAATCTAGCAAAAACCAAGAACACGACAATGGGTGCATAATATAAAAATAACCCCGAAGTCAATCCTGGGAGCACCCCAAACAACCCCAGATTCTGCCATAGCCCATTTGCAGCCACCCCAATTATGTTAATGGTCAACTCAATCCGATGCCAATTGACTACAAAAATCCAGATTACCACCCCAATTATCAGCAATATGAAAACAAAAATCAAAATTCGATAGGCTAAAGGAAGAGCCTCGCTACATCTAGAGCTGACATGGCAAGCAACAAACCAGTAGATATCCAGAAACACAGGAACTATCACAAAGAAAGGAAGTGATATGTACACTAGCTGCTTGGTGTAATGCTTGAGCAACAAAAGTACAAACAAAACAAAGGGCACGCTCAAAATTAAGGTGATGACAAGGGTCCATATCAAGCTCTTCAAAACACTCGATTTTAAAGCGTTAATCGAAATTGGGTTGCTAAAAAAGGAGGGTTGTGTAACTTCGAGAAGGGCGCAAGTGGAGGAGGTGGAATTGTAGAAAAAAGAGGAGACTTGGGAGTGGTGGGGGTTCCTGTGGACGGAGGCAAAGATGCCGAAAGCGAAGGTGGCGAGGATGAGGAGAGAGAAGAGGAGGAGGAAGGGCCAGTCTTTGAAGGGGCGGGGGCCGTAATTGTAGGAGATCTGGAGGAGCTGGGAGTGGTCATCGCTGGGTTGGGATGTGGTGGGGCGGAGGGTAGCGGGTACGGGTGATGCGGGGTGGTCTAGAGGAGGAGGATAAGGCTTGGAGAGGAGAGGTTGGGTGGGAGTGGGGTCTTGGAGAGAGGAAGAGAGTTTGTTGGGGTCTTCTTTGCTGCTGTCCATGGCATCAGAAGATGACTTGGGAGCAGAGGTATCTGGTGGGGGTTGGTGAGGGAGGAGCACGAGGAGGTGGAGACGGATTTGGCGGTGGAGTATTGGCTAATTCTTTCTACCTGAGTTGGGTTGAGCTCAGCTTAGCTCTCAGCTCAGCTGACAGCAGCTGAGATGAGATGAGTTGAGTTGAGTTGGGGGCTGGAGAAGATAATCGTGATCTGAATGGTCGATCGGTACATCAGATTTTTGACAATTACCACCACTCACCCTCGTTATTAGTAGTATATCTCTTCTCACTCTGAAGAATTAATTAGGCCTAATAATTAGTAGCATTATTACTTAAAAGTAGCAGCCCCCCTTTTACCAAAGATGATTATTGTGATTCTGATCCAGAGTGCCACCCCGCCATAGATAGTAAAACTTGTGTCTTCACCTCCAGACAGCACTTGCCTTTCCATGAATTTCTGTTTTCTTCGCGGACAAGCAAGGGAGATTTCAACACTGCATTGTATATCTGTTTTTCAGGAAAAGGACTTAGAAGCTCTCAAGTTTCTTGAATTCAGAAGAGTTATTTGTTAGCAGTAATACGCTTGTAGTATTGCTTTTGAAAAAATGTTTCTTCATGCAAATAAATAGATAGATATAAAAAAATTAAGTCCACATGGTTAAGTACCTGATATGTTCCCAGAACCTTCAAAATAGGGAACATCCAGTAATCATGGCTTGATATAATAATAAGTAATAATAATAATAATAATAACTTTAAAATAAAGAACAAATTAATGTGGATCGTTTACTATTTGAGTCCAGAGAAACCAACAAAAATTGCTCCCGGGAAGAAACAAAGGCTGTTGTATTATAAAGTTGGCAGTATAGTCTAATGAACATGATACAAAACACTAAAAATGTCTGTAAAACAATCTATGCCGAATATGTCAGTTTTACGATCCAAAACTTCCTGCCGGTTGTCATCCCGACATACTAGTGGCTGCATTGCTGTTGTCCTCATCCCACCGGCTCTTAGGTATCTCTCCAGAATCCACAATAATTACTTTCTTCCTGGGTTTCCCACTGTAGGTGCCTGCTCCACCCTCTATCGCAAAAACAGTGTCCATGCCTTCAATAACTTTTCCAAAAGCAACGTGCTCTCCGTCCAACCTGCAAAATTTTCGTGTCAAAGAATTCCAGTTATATCCACAAGGCAGCATGCCCTTTTTTTTTTTCTTTTTAATGATCATGTGTATATATATATATCCATCTAATTAGGAGTTGAAAATTAATTCAAGTCTCTGACTTAAATTGCATTCTTTTCAAGCCATTGAAAAAATTTCTAACACAGAGTTCAGTTTCCAGAACTTCCTCAACGTTAAACCTCCTCTTCCTCTACTTACCACCATCATTTATTAACCAATATCCAACTGCTGTCACGAGAATCCTTTTGCATCTTGAACCATTTCTAAGTGGCCAATGCACCAATACCACCAAAACCAGGCAGTCCCAGAGAGACCATTTCTTTTCAAGTATTTTTGTTTAGGAAGATCAGAACAAATTAGTGAAGTAGAGAAGCCAATGCATCTTTCCAAATCATAGTCATCTCTCACAGGCTAAATGAGGCCATATTGTAACCAATTCTGGCGAAAGCTCTTAAACTGAACACCATTGGAGCTCACATTCCAAGGTGAAATAAGAACCTGAATGTTAGGAGGCATATAATAAGTTTTACCATAGACCTAGACCACAGCAAATGCTTACCAGTACGTCTTGACTGTGGTGATAAAGAATTGTGATCCATTGGAATCAGGTCCTGAATTCACCATCGAAACAATACCTGCATATATGAAACTCACAATAATTACCGAAAAGGAAAACTGAAATGGGGCAAACACTTTTCCCTTCAACAAATAATCCCATAAAGAGACTAACAAGTAATATTGTACCAATATTAAGATAATAACAGAAACCTGCATGTGAATGTTTTATCTTGAAATTTTCATCAGGAAAGGTCCTTCCGTAAATAGATGCATTTCCCCTCCCATTACCATAGATAATATCTCCACCTTGAATCATAAATCCAGGTATAATACGATGAAATGGTGTTCCCTTATAACGGAGAGCTTTTCCTTTGGCAGCCTTGCCCTTTTTCCCTGGTTCAAGTAAAGTAAGGTCTTTGCTTAAAAAAGTCAATATAGGCAAGCTCCTAACTTTGTTCCAATAGTTTGATGTGAACAAAAGTAAACAACAACAAACCATGAAATACCTGTGCACAAAGCCCTGAAATTTTCTGCAAAGAATAAAAGGGATAACATGAGGGGTTTTGGGAAAGACAAGTAGAAAGGTAAGAAGAATAACAGTAGGCGCTATGCATTAGAGTGTTGTGTCAATAAAATTTAAGGAGGGTGCAGGAAGATGTGAGCATACCTGCTGTTTTTGGTACAACTTGGCCATACAATCCAATAACAATTCTTCCTGTAGATAAACAAGAATTAGTTGATGAAATTAGACAAAAAACATAGGTAGTAAATATATCTACTTCGACCTTTGTTCATCATGGATGAATATACTTTTTCTCCTTGACAAACATTGTTGCATAACAATTCATCATTTCCCGCAAATCCATCCAATAAAATTTTAGACACCTTCAAGTTTCACAAAGAAGGCAAGAGCACAAATGCATGTGCAAGCACAAGAGATAAATAACTTCACAGAATCTTCAGGTTATGACTGATTCTCAGGAAACAACTTTTCTGTGCTTACTGAATATCCAAACACATCTTTCCAAATACTGAGGGGTCCATATGGATTAGGTGTTTTTCAAAAACTTTACTATAGCATTATATCTTAAAAACTTTACCATACAATTGTATCTTGGGGTATTTTTTATTACTCCCCCATTCTCTCCTCCCTTACTCCTCTCTTCCTCCCTCCTCCCACCACCAGCTCACCTTCAGCCTCCTACCTCCCCCATCCATCCGCCACCTCCCATTCCCCCCCCCCTCTTTTATTTTTCCTCATTCCTCTCCTCCCTCACTCCTCACTTCCACTCTCCTGCCTCTCCCACCACCTTACCTTTCCCCTCTCCCTGCACCCCCACCCTCCCTTCCCCTCCAGATATGGTTGCGCAACCAAATTTAGAAGGGGAGGGAGCACAGAGGTGCTGAGGGAGGGGGTAAGCCAGAGGGGGAGAGGAAGTGCAGCAGCAGAAAAACAGAGGGGAGGAAGAGGAGGTGCCAGGAAAGTGTACGGGAGAGGTGGAGGAGGGGGGAAGTGGATGTGGTGAGGGAAAGAGGGGAAGAAGAGGGAGGGGGTGACGGGAGGTGGGTGGAGATGCAGGGTGGTGGTAGGTGAAGAAAGGAAGGGCTGGTGGTTTTTTTTTCTTTTTGTGTTTTTTAGGGCGTGTTACTATAGCATATTGTATTTGAAAAAAAACAGCCAATCCAAATAGAGCCCAGTTATCTCACATAATACTCAAGGGAAAATGACTTTTTTCATGCCAAAAATTTGCATAAAAATCAGGTCCTATAGGTGGAATGAGAAAGTATAATGTCCTGTCAAGAACAGTGTTTCGAAAACCGGACTGGACTAGCTGGCTTGACCAGTCGAATCCCATGCCTCCGGTCCAGTTCAATGGTTAACCCGTAAATTCAAACTTAAACCATTCAAACTCAATCAAGAACAGGTTAGACTGGTAAAAACCAAGATCCAAAAAGTACCAAGGGCAATGTTGCTACAACAAAAAGTGCCAAAGCAACAATTTCATGATATGCAGTCTAGGACAATGTTACTACTTTTCCCATATAGGAGAATGTAGGTACCTGAAGGTACTATGTGCAACATAAAGGTTTCCGAGTAACTTAAACAAAATGTTAACAGGGGAGTGATATCATACAACATTGCAAAAGATACGTGGAATATCAAATAATACAAAGGAGTCTAAAAGGAAAAGAAAAATAGAACACTATTAACAAGACGGACTATGAACCCAGCAATACACACAATCCACCATAGGAAGGCATAAAGAACACATACCTACGTGTTGTTTATCTATGTCAACATCCAAAAAGACTCTGTGAGTAATTTCATGCACCTCTTCCACCTTCTCTTCTTCCTGCCAATTTATTGAAGGATGATTACGCAATGAAATCAAGCTAATAATAAAAAAAGCTTAGGTCTTGCGCCCTGTAGGTCGCAATACAATCTTCAAAGATCAGAAATTGAAGGATCTTTTATTAGCCCCTTAGAAGTCTGGATGAAATTTTAATTATCAAATCAAGATTGGATACATCATACATGTGGTTCAAAGGATTCAGACGGTCTACTGGTAGGCTCAACTTTTCAGCGATTGTATCTTAATTACTGATGTTATAAAGCATACCTATATGCATATAAATCGATGTTCATAGGTGATTCTTGTTCCTGTCCACAAGGAAGTTATCTGGGAAAGCTTGTTTACATCTTTTGCTAACTACGTGTACCAGTGCTACAGTTATTAATTATCTCTACTCTTATGCTAAGGAAAAGACTTTAGAGAAACAAATCAAGTTTGTTAAATAAATCCTTTAGCAGTAATGGAAACCACAAACATCAATTCACTTACCTCTAAAGCTCTTTGCCTCACTCATTTAGAACACTCTAACAAGACACATCCTTAAGTGGAGAAACCTATCTTTACCAATTCTAGAAAAAAAGGAGATTGCCAGTGAATTATGCAATAGTCGCGGACTCTTGTTCTACTTAAGCAAAAAGGGGGGGCAGAGTAATTTCCCTAGTCAACATCAAGTTCACAGCAGAACGACAATCAGATCTTTAAATAACATAGCGGATAATTGAATGAAAGAATAAAATCAGAAGTGGAAAAGAAAAAGGAGGGAGGAAGTACCTGTTGAGGGAAGGAGAAAGCGAAAAAGATGAGAACTAAAGCCACAACCAAGATCAGAAGACTCCTGGGCTGCAATAAGAATGACATATCCCTTCCCATCTCCTCTACCTTCACAATTCAGCATCTATTTCACATATTTTCCCCACCCGCCTAACAGCACACCACAATTTCAATAAATTCCGCCTAAAAGTAAATGATAAAATAGGAAGAACAAATTCTGTCGCTCGAGTATAGAGAGATAAAGGGCAGAAATCGCAGCTAAAAAACCCGAATTAAATGTTTGTTTGATGAACTGACAACCAATCAATACTCAACCACTACGCTCGGGGTGTCAGTAAATTGCTCCTTTTTCCCATCAATTCTTAGAGGAAGATAAGCTTGACGGCTTGCTCTGCTAATTTAATTCGTCTTTACCATTTGTCTCTTAATGCAACCTCTTTTTTTTTTTTGTTTTTTTGGGTGGGGAGGGGGGTGAGGGAAAAGGAAATTACCTTGGCCTATTTCTGGA